TCTTATTTTATAAATGGAAATTGTTTTGTTTCCCATTCGGGACTTTAAAAGGTCTATCTTTTGAGGCTTTCTTGGATAAGTTTGCAATTTACTCATTTTTTCGAATAAACCGAAGTGCATTGGAGCGCCGTGCAGAGTAAAGTGAGTCTTAATTTGCTCTGACAAAGTGTTGGAATGAGCGCAAATGAGAATTTTTCTGTCCAGCTTGTTGAATGCATTGCCGTACAAGTACTGCAGAGATTTGATCTCAAAACTAAGTTTCTAGTGCTAGACGGACCCTGAATCAATGTGAGACTAGCCCCTTCCTTATAACTATAACCCTTTTGTACGTTTTAAGGATAACATCCTCTGATGGTCGTTGAACTTTGTATACGTATGCATATGTACCCCTTATAGGTAAGTGATGGCCTTGTTTCCAACAGCCAACAGACAGGTCTTTATGTCTCCTCATTTTTTTATTCCGATTGTCTCTCTTTTTTACCATAAACCGAAGCTGAGAAGCTCAACGCGAATGGTAAGCTTCCGGCGGTGTACCGAGTATAGAGGGTACATGATGCGGTCTATCGTATTATTCAAATGCCCACAAATCAGGATCATTCTATCTCAGCCAGTTTATTAGCTACATTGAGGGACTGCAGAAGGTCTTGGTCTCGCAACTGACATGGTCTCAATTTTCTAGTGCCAGGTGGAGTTTGTATGAATGTTAAACTTGCTAGATGCAGGAATATATTATTCAAGAATATGCATAAGAAAATTATGTCCAACGAGAAAATTACACGACCAACAAAAATAATTCAATAAATAGTACAATTTAATTCATTTCTTCTCAAGTTTTTCGCGTAAACTGTGGGCAATGGAAACCCAAAGTTCATGGATAACATATAATATTTAAAATGTTATTATATATAATATTATATAATACAATATTACATTTTTTGTTTTCATAACAACTCCTGCAATAGGGAGATTATGGTTTGACTTCATCTTTCTAAAATCACTTAGATAAAGCAAAGAGATAAAGCGAAAGGAAACATAAAAGGTAATATGCGATAACCAACTATGATCCAATTTGCATTTGCACCATCACTTATTGCAATGTCCCCAACATTTATTATCATTATCATCGAAACTACTTTTCCGAATTGAATACACTTTTAAGCATTATAAAAATGTTTCTTTGTTTCTGAAATATAAACAATTTCAAATTGTTTAAATTCAGAATGGTGAAAAAAGTTGTAAAATAAAGGAATCTAACCAACGTCAAAGGGAAAGGGTAAATAAAGATCAAATAAAATGGATCTCAAATGCAAAATGAGCTATTTTATTTTTTCGTATTTAAGAAATTTATAATTATTAAAACTACGTATCAAATATACTTCTTTATGGTTTTTGTACATATTTTACAACATTTTTATCATCCAAATTTTATTATTATCCCCATTTATTTTTTTGTTTTATTAGAATATTTTTGTTAATTTGGATTCATTAAATTGAATTATGAAAATAACATTATCATGTTAAATTTGTTTAATTCCTTTAAGTTGAGTTTATATAGTCGAGTTTTTCCATTATATTATACCCGGTACTAATCTATTCCACCCACACTTTAACTAACCTTTGAAAAACAACCGAAGCTCCCCTACTACCCCCTACGTCACTACTACCGATTCAGTAGGGACGCAGAACAAAAAGTCTATAACTCCTGAATTTTCAGATTTGGCTGAATTTTCATTTGTGGGTGTAGATGATCCATTGGAATAGTTTGGCATTAAAACATTTCCCAAAAACATTAACAAACTGGCGCTACAATGAGATTTCCGTTTTGGGGTCGGGAGTGGGCGTGGCAAAATTTTGACACAACCTTGATTTGCGCGGATACCATACAAGTCCAAGTTCCGAATGTTATAGTTCTGTCTCTTATAGTCTACTAGATCCACGCATTTTAAATTTGAATGAATTGGTATACATGCATATGGGTATATCTCCCCTAAAAGTCGGCCGATTTGGATGAAATTTGTTTTTGACATATATTATATTAACCATAGAATTAGTTTGGCATTCCTGTACTGGCGCTACAGGATTTAGCGATTAATGAGGTCGGAAAAGGCGGGGAAAAAATTTGAAACGGACTTTAACTGTGTGGGCATTAAAGAAGTACCGGGTATAAAAAATGACGGCCGTTCCGTCCCGCAAAAAAAAAAAAAGAAAAAGAACAAACCGCTCAACACTTTCCAAACAAGCTTTTTTGGGCACAGCGCTGTATAAGAATGAAGTCCATTGTTTGCTGCAATATTCCTAAGATTTCTTGTTCCAATATTTTCATTAATGTCTATGGTACACCAAAGCCAGTCTTTGTTGATCGACTTTCATTCAAAAATGTAATTCCTCGAATGAGCTTGCAACAAAATTTAAAAAAAGTAATTTTCTTTAAACACAATAAACATTAAATGTGTATAAAAATGTGAATGTGAAATCACTAAATTACCTTAAATTTATTTCTATATACATAGTTTATAGTCAGCTCCACCTACCTGTCGATATTCCATTCTTCTTTTGGGTTCGCTTGTTTTTTTTAGCATCTTTCCACGAGACTCAATTCTTAATTTTGTTCAATTGCTGAAATTCAAAATGTTGTTTTCCTGCCGCAAACTTTTTAAAGTTGGGAAATTTTAAAAACCAAAAAACAAATATATTTTAGGTTTTATTATGTATAGTCTATAAAATATTGGAATTACAGATTTAATCTTAAAAATAAAATGACATTTAATTTCATATTATTTAACATTCGGTCTATTTTTTAACAATATTTTATTATCCAAATGCCATTTGGAAACACTGTTTCTTTTCTTTAGTTTTTTCTTCGAATCATCATATGTAGATAACTGTACCCAACGCCAGTGTCAAAAATTCTATCAAACGAGAAAAGATTTTAAAAAAAGTTAGTATTGCGTATCAGTTATTTTAGAAATATATTTTTGGATAAAACAAAAGTTAAAAATATTAGAAAACTTACCCATATTTGAACCACCAGCCATAGCCAAAATCCTTTGCCATATTGCGTTCAGGATGTCCATCCTCATCTCGATCAAATGTCGAAAATGTCGTCCCCTGATGAACCTTCATGTAATTAGTTCCACTGCATTCGCCAATATGCTTCAACATAAATCCTTCTCTTCGATTACCAATAACAATGTTGTCACATTTATAATCGTGATACTTGAAATACATCTCATAAGGTTCTTTATTCGTCAGAAGGTGCAATTTTTCGAGTCCTATGAAAAAATTGTCGTTATCATCCTTTCCATCTCCGAATCCAGTTGCATATTCCTCATACGTGCGATTAAACATATTTTTGTCATTATATTTACTATAAACCAACATCCAACCAGGTCCAATCTTCTCATCTGAGTAACAGACCACTTTCAACGGATCTGATCCAGGTATTTGGATTTCCTGAGGGACCCATTCTTCCTTTTGGTTTCGGGGACAACTATCTGGAAGAGCTAAGGAATTCGATGTATTAGTTTGTAAATTACACGGTTGTGCCAGCTCACCTTTGGTTTGTGTTTCCGACTTTGTTTGATTGCGACTATTATCCTGTTCATTAGCTGACACTTCTCCAGTTTTTACCTCCACTTTGTCTATTTTATTATCCGGATTTTTATTTTCCTTCGTCCTTTCTTCAGTGTGTGTTTTATTTTGATTAGCTTGTGGTACTTCTCCACTCATTTCTATTCTGCGAATTCTTTCAATTTCTTCGCGAAGTTGATTTATCAATATTTCCAGTTCACTTGTTTTTTTTTGGTCACTAATTTGATTTTTTAAAAGCTCAATTTCGGTATTTTTCTTGTCTATTTCAGCAATTAGTTTGTCGTTGTTCCTTTGCACTTCCCAATGTCTTTTCTCTAAGTTCAAGAAATCTTTTTGGTTCTGCGATATCTGGGCTTCCCATCCCTGGCACTTCTCGAAGTAGCGTAGCAATGGCTTAACGATTGGATAACAAACTGAGGCACATTCGTCCTCCTGCTCCTCCGTAAGATAACAAGACTGTGGAATTGTAATTTAAATTAATTTTCGAAATAAAAACACTCTACACTATTACTATGTATTACTTCTTCCGATCCGAGGGAGGCAGAAATGAAAAAAGTAGCAGCGAGGAGGACCACTGGTAGGAACATTTTCTTATATTTTTGTGGAAGAGTCACTTGAAGATTTTACACTGATGCTCCGAGACTCATGGCTCCGGCTTTTTAAATCATCCTCGAGGTTCAGCTTCGCCTTGAGCTTGTGCTTGAGGGTTTCTGATAAGAAGATCAGTCTTCATGCGAGTGCCGTCTACTGAATTGGAACTATGGGCGCACATCCATTAAAATGTCAAAGGTCAGAAAAAATTTGATTAGCAACAAGAATTGGGGTATATTTTTATTGGTAAGTTTTCCGTATAATAACTTGTATAATTGGGCTAGTTTTTCGTGAATATACATTATATATACTATATTTTATTACTGTCGCTTGTATTATTTACTTACGAAAATTCTTTTAAAATTTATTCCAAGTCACGTTTTCTTTAGAAATCTTATTTAAATTGTGTGTTATAATTTAATAACTAAATAAATAATAATACAAGTTATTACTGAGATGGTGAGCAGTGGTGTTATTTTTTATAAGAAAAAAAAACGAACAAACAAAATACGGCATCTAAAGGCAGAAAAGTTAAGAAAGCTGGATTAAAATTTTATCAAAATTTTTACTTTTTCATATATAAGTCATATGAGGATATACATATATACATATTAATGATGAAGGTTGAGTTTGAAGTCGATAACTTTAAAACTAGTTTGTGAAGAATATATAATTTTACAATAATTTAATTTATTGTATAATTTAATATATATTGTATAATTTATTTAATGTTATAATAACCTCTGCTAGGGTATAAAAATGAATAACCAAATTAGTTTCTGTGTAATATTTACAACCCTAAAAAACCCCCTGACAACTCTAGACCAGAGGCAGTTTCGAAACAGCTGATATCCGATCGAACCGGCCTTTTTGTTTTGGTTTTTATGTAATGGTCAAGGTGGAGGTGGAGTACTGGTGAGTTAAGGTCGAACACCATTGCCATGACATCCTTGATGACCCGCACACTCTGCACCCCTAGCGGCACCTGCAACTTCAGTGGGCAGTGCCAGCTCCTGCGGCAATTCCTGCTGGCCTCCGATCCGGATTTGGAGATTTCCTGTCGGCAGGGACGCCGCGGATCCTTCGAGGTGGCCATCGATGGCCAGCTGGTGCACTCGAAGCTCTCGTCGCTGGCCTTTCCGCAGCATGCCAGCGTCTTGGACCAGGTGCAGAGGGCACAGCGCGGCGAGGCCGTGACCACAGTGCGGGAGGAGCCCATCAAGGATTGCGTCCTTATGTGAGGCGGTTGCGCCACTTACTAAAGCTTACTTTAAATATGGGATATTATTTAAAATTATATGTTAAGGGTTCAAAAGATAAAAAGGTCTTTGTTTAATATATTTTGTATTTTTTTGCTCCACAGTGCCTCCTCCTCTAATTCATGTAAACACCCCACAGATGACATGTTCCATAGAGTTTATTTTTGTTCTTAAAATTTATTCGGACAACAAAATGTTTACAAAAAAAAAGAGATAATAGATAAAGATAATCCATCCGGATTTCCATTTCGAATTGCGGGCAGGAGGCGCATGTCCTTCACCTCCTGTAGCGATATCGCTTGAAGTGGAACCACAACTGGAAGATGTTGTTGTGGAACTGGCAGCGGAATCCCCGCTTGTAGCTGAACTCCCACTCGCGGTTGACAATCTTGAAGGCAATGTCCTCGTAGGGAGGACCCGTGTGGAAGCGCAGGACAGCAAAGTCGCCGTTGTCGGGGCAGGGCGTTAGGAAATACTGCGGTGTCTGCGACTTATCCATTAGATCCGGGTAGAAGATGTTGAACTTGTAGCCCTGGACAATCTTGGGTGGCGGGTTGTCCATGTCGTAGTGCGTCTGGTTGTACTTGTTCCACTCGAAGCCGGTGTGCACACGGTTGAAGTAGCGCGGCTTTCGCGGCCGGTACTTGTCGGTGGCCAGCTGCGGCACTGCATCCAGTGTGGTCTCCACACTGAACTCCGCCTCGTCACCCTGCATGCCCTGGCGGGCCTCGTTCCGCATCTTGACTTCCTGGGCCGTCAACTGGTTGGTCTCGGCCCGCTCGGGATGCAGTACATGCTGCCTCTGCGTTTGGATTCTCCGTTCGTCGTCATCCTCGTCGTAGAGAACGCCATCGGCCTGCTCATCCTCGTCTTCCTCCGTTTGTAGCCGACGGCCCGTGAAGTCCTCTTCGCGTATGTAACGCGGACTGTAGCTTCCGGCGTGATAGCGATTCACTGCATCACGGATTTCCCGCAGAGGGTCATCGTCCTCGTCCTCAGCGCCTTCCTCGTCATCCCTACCTTCCGCATCGTTTTGCTGCTGAGCCAGATCCTGCTCCTGCTCTTCCTCCTTCTTGATGCGCAAAGCCAATTCCTCTTGGGCGGCTTCGTCCTCGTTTTCCTTTTTCAGCAGCAGGAGTTTCTCGCGAAGCAGTGCCTGGTGACGGTCCCGAAGACGCGCCCGGGACATGTGAGCCTTCAGTTGGGATAGCAGACTCTCCCAGTAACTGATATCCACGCCATCCCCTCGCCCACTGATCTTGGCCTCGATGCGCTGCCGCATCTCGTCCAGCTGCTGGGTGTTCTTGCCCCGGAATATGTCCGCCACATCCTTCACGACGCTCTGGTGGATGCCGTCTCGCCTCTGGTTCATAGAGTTGTTCTCGGCTTGCTTCTTCTGCTGCTTCTGCAGCTCGTCCTGCACGATGGTGATCATGTCGTTCCAGAAATCAATGTGCTTGCCCTGCTCCAGCTCCTCGTAGACCTTGATGTCCACCAGGAGATCCTCGAGCTCATCCATGGGCAACCCGCTGAGGAGCATATACGGCTCGTGCATTTGCATCTCGAGAGATTCCTCCAGGGGAGCATTGCCAGCGGCCACGTATTGGGCCAGCAGATCGATGGGCTTCGCCCGGCCGTCGCGTATGCGGATTTCGCTGCGCAGACGGGCCTGCTCAAGATGAAACTGGTCTTCCTGGCGCTGCCACTCTCTGAACTGGACAGCCTCCTTGGCTCGCTGCTGCTGCATGAGATCGTCCTCGCGCACCTGTCGTTCCAGCTCCCGTTCCTGCCGCCGCTTCTTCACCTTCTCGAGTTCCCGACGGTTTTCCAGTTGCTTTTGCAGAGATAGCACCTCCACCGTTTTGGTGGAAAGATTGGAGAGGCCCTCTACCTCTAGCTTCTTGCCCCAGTGAAAGGTCGAGGTGAGATTGGAGTCGCCAAACGGATTGTCCTCGTTGGAATATGTTTGGTACTCGTTGTCCCAGCCCATTCGCTGGCGTCGCCGCTGCTCCTTGGCTTGCTTTTCGCGGAGGCGACGGGCGCGCTTCTCCTCCGGTGTCTCCTGGGCCTTGAGCTCCTCCTTCTTTTGCTGGCGCTCCTGCTGCTCCTTAAGGCGGCGCGCCTCCAGGGTCTGAAGCAATTTCATTGAGCTTGTGGCGAGTGGAGATTTCGGTGGGCTACCTTCGGAGGACGAAGAAGAGGAGGACCGTCGTTTGCGGCTGCTATGTTTGGTGCTCTTTTCGTTATCCCTTCTTTTGTCCTTGCGACGCTCGCGCTCTTTCTCTTTTTCCTTGCGAGAATCTCGGTCCCTGTCGCGTTCTCTCCCCCTTTCCCGCTCCTTGTATCGCGTGGTCTCGTCCCTGTCGCGACTGCGACTCCTTCTCCTGGATTTTAACTTCTCCTTGGGCATCCTTTTACCGAATATTTGTCAAAATTGTGAAATTTGTAATGAAAACAAAAACTTATGGAAAGTGGTGTTAGGGATGGAACTACCAGTTCAAGTAATTTATCGATATTTTGCAAGTCAGTCGTATAAGATATATACGGGTTCAAATTTCAAACATTAGTAATGATAATGATAGTAATGAATAAGTAATGACAAGCTACTATATAAATAAATGACAAAATTATTTTTCACACATTTATTTCATTCAGAGCCTTTGATATTGGTCTAACTTTTTTCGTTTTCAAACACTGCCTGAAACATATGATCGTTATCAGCAAGAAAAAAAAATACCAACTAATGAATACCCTGTTACAACTAAAATTTAATATTTTGTACAATAAATGGTATTATTAATAAAAATATAGATGAAAAATAAAATAATAAATTAAGAAATATTATTTGTATATATTTCTCAAACTAGATAAGTTTTGAAATGGCAAAGCCAGTTATGGGATGAAAAACTGAATTCGAAAAGAGATCTACCCAACCAAGCCAATCCTCCAGGAACAGGGTATGGCTGTGCGTTTTTGTTACCAGCAATTATTATTGCATTCCCATATAAATAAGTCTCCGATCGCATACGTACCCATCAGTGCCAAACATGACGCTATATAGCCCGGAGTTCAGCGAATCGGAGCAGTTGAAAATCGACGCAGAATTCTCTAGACTGTCCGGTAAGTGGCGATAAAGAGCAAGAAGAAGCACAAAAAACAACATTGTGAAATACGCAACAAGAAACCAGATAACAAGAGCCCCCAATTGATATATGTAATGTAACTTCCAGAGAACAAGAGTGTTTACCTGGATCATGCAGGCACCACACTTTATGCGGAAAGCCAGGTGAAGGCGGCGGCCGAGCAACTGCAGCGAAATGTCATCTGCAATCCGCACACCTGTCGCCTTACCGGCGACTTTGTGGACCAGGTTCGATACAAGTGAGTGGCAATTATAGTGATTGTAAGAGATTGTGAATCTAGAACTAAAGTTGGAGGGGGCTGTCATTGTAATGCCCTTGCAGGAGAGGCTATGCTTTGCCTCGAGGAAGGCAGGAAAAGGTCCCCTTCTCCTCGGCTTCTCTACTTTTAAATTCTAATGCCCTAAGCTATTATTTTCTATATATTGAGTTTCCACTGAGGTATTGTTACTATTATTAAAAAATAATTCCATAACTCGGTCATAAACACGCAATGCCAACCCTAATCTCTCAGGAGACTAATCGAGAACAAGGTTTTAAAATTAATTATATATTTAAAGCCAGAAATTAAATGAAAACCTTTGTAAACAATTTCAGAGTCTTGGAATTCTTCAACACCACTGCGGAGGACTACCATGTCATCTTCACCGCAAATGCCACCGCCTCGCTATCCTTGGTCGCCGAAAATTTTGACTTTGGCTCCTCGGGAAACTTTCACTTCTGCCAGGAGAATCACACCTCGGTGCTGGGAATGCGGGAGAGGGTCAGCCATGCCAAAGGGATTTACATGCTGACGGAAAAGGAAATAACCGGATGCTCCATAAAAAATGGCTCATCCAAAGGGGAGACCACAAATCCGGGAAAATCCCTGGTCACCTTCTCCGCGCAGTGCAACTTCAGTGGCTGCAAGATACCTCTGGACGCCATTGGAACGATTCAGGATAATGGCCTGCACACGCCAGGAAAGCACATCTGGGGGTCTGAAGGAGAAGCCAGCAATAACGATTACTATGTCTGCCTGGACGCTGCCTCCTTTGTGGCCACCAATCCCCTGGATCTGAAGCGATATCGTCCGGACTTCGTGTGCATCAGTTTCTACAAGATATTCGGCTATCCCACGGGCGTGGGCGCCTTGCTGGTCAGCAAGCGGGGAGCAGAGGCCTTCAGAAAGAGGACGTTCTTCGGTGGAGGCACCATCAACTACGCCTATCCCCATGCCATGGAGTATCAGCTGCGGGAGTCCTTCCACCAGCGGTACGAGGACGGAACACTGCCGTTTCTGGCGATTGTGGGTCTGCTCGAGGGATTCCGCACCCTGGAGCGAATGGTACCGAAAACCAAAGAACTGTCCACCATGGAGCGGATTTCTAGGTGGGTTTGGTTCATGAGGTCTACGCTAGACTGTATTAAGTTATGCTTTCCCACAGACATGTCCATGGCCTGGCCAAGTACCTGGAGGACCAGCTGAAGCAACTGAAGCATCCGAATGGGGAACCGCTCATCCAGCTATACAACAAGGCAGGCTACCAGGACAGATCCCGACAGGGCGGCATCGTCGCCTTCAATGTGCGCACCGACAGCGGTGACTATGTGGGCTTCGGTGAGATTGCCTGCGTGGCTGCCTTGCATGGCATCCTCTTGCGCACCGGTTGCTTCTGCAACATTGGGGCCTGCCAATATTACTTGGGACTAGACGGCGACGCTATGGATGCGATATACAAGCGGGCTGGAAGGATCTGTGGCGATTATTTTGATCTGATCGACGGCCAGCCCACGGGAGCAGTGCGCGTATCCTTCGGCTACATGACCAGGATTCAGGATGTGGAGCAGCTGCTGAAAATGCTGCGCTCCAGCTACTTGGCCACAAAGCCGCAGCAAAGGATTCTGTTTATCGAGGAGCAGGCGAGCCAATTGCCTCCTGTGCTGCAGGCACGTGTCCAGAACCTGAGGCCGAAACTCCTGCAAATGGCCGTTTTCCCGGTGAAGTCCTGTGCGGCCTTCAAAATAGTAGGGACGCTGCACTCCTGGCCACTGACGGACCAGGGCTTGAAGTACGACCGCGAATGGATGATCGTGGACATGAACGGCATGGCCCTGACCCAGAAACGCTGCACGGAGCTGTGTCTGATCAGGCCGATGATTAAAAGCGACGTCCTCGAACTGCATTTCGGAGATTCCTTCGTGTCGGTGCCGCTCTCGCTGGAGGATCAGGCCGCCGATTCGGCCAAGTGCGTGAGCAAAGTGTGCCGCCAGCCTGTGGAGGGCTTGGACTGCGGCGAGGCAGTTGCCGAGTGGTTGAGCACGAATCTTGGCCAAGACGGCCTCCGCCTGCTGCGGCAATCGGGTCAGAGGAACTCCTCCAAGGACCAGCAGAAGCTCAGCCTGGTGAATCAGGCTCAGTTCTTGCTCGTCAATCGCTCCTCGGTGCGATCCCTTCAGTTCGAGGAGCCGCTGGACGATACGGTGGATCGTTTCCGGGCCAACATAATCATCGACACCGGCTTGGCCTTCGAGGAGCTGCACTACAAGCAGCTGTCCATCGGCAAGGTCCAGTTCCAGGTGGAAGGTCCTTGCCAGCGATGCGATATGATCTGCATAAACCAGAAAACCGGTGAACGCTCTCCGGAAACTCTGACCACCATTTCCCGTCTCCAAAGCGGACGCATGCGTTTTGGCATTTACGTCACCAGGATTTCCAAGGATAACGGCGATCTGCAGCTGTCCTGCGGGGATACAGTTCTCGTGGAGTGAGCTCTCTCCCAACTAGCATTTAGGTTTCCACTCACAGCACAATCTTTGAAAAGTCACATTTTTTACAAAAAGCACTGTATATTAACCACATCACTATTAATTTAGTTAACCAGATACCTCTTGCCAGTGTCTTAATCCTTTTAAAGGGTCCAACGATACATAAAGTGAATGAACATGTATTAAAAACAATATATTATTTCAAAAACTTTCAAAATATATTAATTTCGCGCTCTGTTAAATTAATCGATAATCGACTTATCGACTAGTCAAGTCAAGAGAGTCACATTGGCCACACCAATTTCAAATTTTGGAGGCAAATTTCAAGGGTAACAGAAAAGGGTTGCGTTTCATTTTTCTTCCGACTCTTGAATATAAAAAAATAATACTTTTTTGCTAAGAAAATAATTAAATACTTCAAATTTGTAGAACATGTCGATCCCAATCTTAAGAGCGAGAGAGAGAGAGAGATGTTCCATCGATGTTAGCCGCGTAGTGTTGCCAACTATCGATAGGCAAGTCCAAAATCGCGATATAAATGTATCAATTTCATAAAAAGAATATCGATATATTAATATTTTGATAAATTTCAACAGCCCTATTTTTTTTTTGCGCGAAAGCTGTCGGACAGAACGGGCGCAGCAGCGCTTTCTTTTTCTTCGCTTGCCGAGACGCTGCGAGCGCGTCTTGCCAGAGAAATATAACAGAAAAATCGTAAACCACGACAAACCCGAAATAGTGCACGATGCATTAATAAAACATCAATGTAAATCAATAAAATAAGAAATTGCAAGAAATTCGCAAGCTAGTAACTCGCAAGCGAGAAAAATCAAAGAAGAAATAAAAACAGACGGCGGCAGCAGAAGAACGTAAACAAACGTGTGTAAATCCATAAAAAGCAACAAAAACACTACTAGAAATCAAAAGAAGCGCCAGCCATGGCGACGCCGACTGCGACGACGGCAGTGACAGTGGCAGCAACCGAAACAGAAACAGCGATGGCAGCGCAGCCAGCAGAATCTCTTTGGATGCTGATGGACATTAACGAATTTCTGTAGTGCTCTCCGGTCTTTTTGTTTTTGTGTGTTTTTTCGGTGGTGGTTCCAGATAAATGTTTCGTGTATAAATAGCAATCGGCGGATAAATCAGCACAGTGAATGGTAAATGAAATATTCAATTTGGAAAATAAAGTGGAAAATAGAAGGAGAACGGAGAAAGGAGAAATGAGAAGTAGGTGCCCGAAGTTAGAGCTAGCGATTTCCATTTATCGATCTGCAAGTACCTGAATTAAAAACAAATAAAAGCACAAAACGGATTCATCTCATCAACATAATCCGATACGGCGGGATTAAGGCTGCGACGCCGACTGCGCTGCGACCGCATTACCGGTAACCGGTAATTAGTCGGCAAGGCCGTCGGTGCTCAAGCCATATCTTTACCGTTAGCTGAAGCTATAGCCACAGCACTGCAGGTTGCAGGTTGCACAGTGGTTGCAACAAACCAATTAACTCATTAAAATTGTGACTGTGATTAATTTTAATTATATTGAATTAAAAATCTATAATGTTTTAAAATTAGTTTTATCTAAAGAAAGTTTTTAGATTTCAAATGCATATTTATTTTTTGCCGTTTTTAAAAAGTTTAGCATTTTTTGTAATAATTAAATGCTTTTTAAAATTAAAAAAATATATTTAAAAAAACCACTAATGTATTTTTAATATGTGTTGTGTATTTTTAAGTGTTTTTATTAAATTTTTTTGAAATAATTATTAAAAATTAAAAAAGAAAGAAGAAACTAAGTAAGAAACCAATATTTTTTTATTTCTTGTATTTATACATTTTAAAAGTTACCAAACTTATTTTAAAGTTGAAATTTTTAATAAAAATAATAGGAATAATATAAAAATGTTCTGAAAAACTAATTTATATACAGCACATACATTTTTTTAAATATGTCACAAATAAATGATTATTCAATTTTTCTTATATTAAATATTTTCCTTAAATAATTCTTTAAAATTTGTATAAACACTTAGAATTCAAAACACCTTTGTGTCTTTATATTGTTTTTTTTTTCGTTAGTGATAAGAAATTTTGATAAACACGATCGATTAGTCATAACTAAATTGAAAAGTGCCCTTATCGTTTTGAACTTTTGACTCGTTTGGCTAATGGCTTGGAAGATTATTTTTAACAAACGTAATTGCAAATAAAATAAGATTGCAGTTGTATTAGGAGGTATTCCAATCAGCCTTTACAAAATGACCAATTTTAGGGTGATTTCAACCACTGTGCGGGTTGAAAGTTCAGGCTCGTTAAATGCAACCAAACCCGCCCAAAGCAGAATGCAGCGAAACTCCTCGAATAATGTCACACGACGTCGACTACGATGATGATGATGTTGATATAAACGAGATTAAATGACACCCGCACAAAGTGGGGGCAATAAGTGTACAAGTTAATCAAACTACATCATTGAGAACTTGTTTTAAGTGGGCTAGACCACCGACTATGCCTGCCAAATACTCCCAAATTTAATCAATAAAGTCTGGTTCTAAACATGCCAGTATAAATTGAAAAACTTTTAAAGCCATTATCTAACAAAATTGGATTATTAATTGCTATTCAAATGAAGGAATTCTTTAAAAATAAACAAGCTTTCCAAAATTTAATTCAAATAAATAAAAACTGAGAATTAAATTACATTTTCTCAGAATTTAGAAATTTTCGAAATTTTTTCAAATTTTGAAATATTAAAAAGATTTTTTTGTATTTAAGTTTTTCTCCATTTTACTTACAAGTAGTATTGACATAAAATGTTATATTTTTTTTAAATAGATACATACATATATGTATGTGTTTGTATAAATTATTCTGGATTATGGAATTATTTAAATATGTTTTTCATAATTTTTTACTCTATGGAAAGATTTGAACATCTTGGTTGAAATAATTAAATAAGTGATATTATTCTATTTAATTTTTAACCCAAAACCTATAATTAAAAAATAATAATAAAATAAATAGTAGGGTTTCTAGCTTTTAATCTTTAAAATTGAGTTTCAATTAAATGCTAAAATCTTTAATCTTTAAAATTGAGAAACTTAACCAAGTTTCAACAGAGCTTGGTTTTGTTTTAAATTTTTAATTTTTATTAAAATTTGTTCCATTTTAAAGTTTAAAAATGCATTTCGACATTTTAATAATGGCATTAATTGCCAAAATTGTAAATTATCTTCCAAAAATAAACTTAATATTTAAATAAAATAAAACCAAACCGTGGATTCTGTGAAAATGAATAGGCATCGCCTCTCCTTTTCTTTCTTCTGGCGCCTTCTCTTTCTCCGTTTTCCGTATCTTGAACTCATTAGAAAGTGTTGAGAGAAAACACAAACAACAACAACAAGACCAACAACCACAATAATAATGCTAATGAAGCCAAGCGTGAAACGTTTTTTTCTCCACTTTTTTTTTACCGTTCGAAATTTGTTTTAAAGAAGTAGAAGGAAAATTAAAAAAAAACCATAAAAAATAGACAGCAAGCCGCCGAAACAGCAGAAGCTGGAAAATCAGTGAAAAGCGTTAACCAAGAAAAGGAAAAAAATCTGTAAAGGAAAAAATAAATAAATTAAACCAAAAACCAAAAACCACCATCAAAAGTTGCCAACTTTTTCGACCGCAGCCACCAGTAGCAGCAGCAGCGCAGTCAACGGCGCAGCTAGCAGCGGCGTCAGCAGCGACGCCCGACTGCAGCCAGCGTTGCGCTGGCAACAACAAATTGCGGTATGACATTCTTTGTTTTTGCATTTTCGCATTTTTCCATTTTACTCTTCAAATAAAAAAAAAAAATAAAATAAATAAACTAAACTAAACAAAAGAAAGATACAGTATCTATTCGATGAGAAATATTTAAATATATATTCTTTACTTTTCTGTTTAGCTATGCATATTTTTTAAATTGGTAAAAAAATATAATAACTTGTAGATATTTTAAGATATTTATTAAGATTTGAGATACAAATATTTTTTTAAGATTATTAAGATTTAAGATTACACAAAAAAAGATAATTTAACAGTAAATAGCTAATTTTAAATAAAGGCTCAAGCGCAGGCTAGGTAGTTTTACAAATAATAAATTTGATTAAATAAATTAATGTTTTCTCATTATATTTATTAATTTCAAAATCTGCTTTTAAGATTAGTAAAACAAAAACGAAACCTAAGAAGTACAAGGTCATTCAAATTTCTTTAAAACAATTATTTGTTAAAACAAGAGTATGTGTGCTTTTTTTTTACAAGAACTTTTAAATTTGTTTTTGGCTTTAGGTCCTTTTAAGTGCTTTATTAAAAAATGTTATATTAACAATTCCATTTAAAATTAAATTTTAAACAAACATGGTGTTATTGAACACCATTCCTGTGTTCTAAGTTTAAAAATGGCTATAAATTATTATGATTTTAATGACTTTCAAGTATTTAAATTTCCATAAAATAAAATGTTGAAATTATTAAACTTAAACTTAAACAATTATAGAAATTTGCCTTTTTTTAAGAATCGCAAGTAAACCTTGTATGGAGTGTAGACTGTACCCATCTTTCATTCTCAAACACTCGTCTCTCATCTACAGACAAGCACATACATATATAAAGATACATACGTATAAGCATATATTTACTTTCTGTAGATGATTTTACTGTTTGGTTTGTAATTTTGCCAAAATGTAGACTCAGCATTATAAACCACACAAAACGAAAACCCGAAAACCGAAAAACCGAAAAACGAGAAACAACAACTCGAAATGTAGTGCCAAAGTTTGACAGCAGCCGGAAAATTCAGAATAAGGCCAGAGCCTCATCGCCGAAAACGTAAATGATTCACAATCACAAATCCCATTTGCTAAATCCCGACCGAAGCCACCAATTATTGGATAACTAATTTTGTGGCCGAAAGTGGTGGATTATTTTATACAAAGCCCTAAAATTGTAGTACGGAAATGGTGGTAAATTGTCTCGTTTTTGGGGCTGATTATATGGGGGAAGTTTTTCTATTCTTGAGTAAAATTATAAAGAGAGCTACATGTCATTTATTAGACAAGTTCTTTTTGTTAAAAAATAGTGGAATATTTGATAGAAAATTTGGAAGTAATTGGTTTTATTGAATTGGTGAAAATTTGTAAAATAAGTTATAGAAA